TAATTCCCACCACACAACATCATGTACAGTTGGAAAATATATTCAGACTGAATCACCATCTTGTTTTCACTTCATTATATATTATTTGTATTTGAATGGTTGAAGAAGTTTCAGATGTAGCATTCAGGGGTCATGGGAAGTCCTATTCTTTCAAATATGCAAACTTTAACTGTCTACTGAGTTTATAGTAAAACTATAATCTCTACTATACATTCATGGTTCCAAGAGGATGAATCCCAAAGGCTCTGGTGATTGTCTCACTCTAGCATCACCACCATGAGGTTGACATTTGCGTCTTAGTTTCAGCAGTGAAGTGTCTCAGCAACTATTGAATGGACTGTGATGAAATTAGTTACAGATATTCTAGGTCCCTGGAGGAGACTTTGAGATTTTTCCTTTCAGTAACACTAGCCGGTCAGACTTTTCAGTGAAATATCTAAACATCTACTCAATGGATTGACACCAGATTTTGTGCAGATATTCATGGTTTACAACAATAATACCCTGACTGACAAACCAATAAATAAGAAGGCTTAACAATGATAGAAATTACAATAAAATACAGTAATAGATTTAGGTATAACAATAAAATATGTCTCAGTTGCCACTGTATATAATTTCAATACTGTTTATGGACCCTGGTCTGCAGAAATAGTCAATTACACTATCTGAAAAAAACATAATTATACCAAAAACCGCATGGGAATATTATAAAGTCAGCATGTCTGCAAAAGGGAAACTTGTGGGTACTCATAGAACCCCTTTTCATTCAGATATCTTTAGTTCAGAGGTCAAGGGATGCCAGTTTTTCCATGGCCAATATTGACCTCCCTTCCCAACATGCTAGCACTGCATGGCGGAGTTGAAGAGGTAAGGATAATGGGGTGGCACTTGCAGTGGCCAATCAGATTTCAAGTATTCTGCAAACGCCCCTGCTGTAGGCCCTGGACGGAGTTTAATAAAAGAGAGGAAAAAAAGTTTAAAAATTCAAGTTCTGTACTAGAAAGTAGATCAGCATCAGCATTTTAACATTTTTACTGTGACCCTGTTAGTACTGTATGTTGACGTTAGCATTTAGCACAGAACCTAAGTAGAGCCTCACAGATGTCTTGCTAACGTTTTGGTAGTTTGTGTGTTCCTGTGTGTGTTTCTGCTCCCATCTAGTGTCGCATACTGCTGGACCATCAGCCTCATATTTTTGGCGCACATTTATGATTGTATGCTCAAGCTCTCGTGGTTAGATTTTTACGGGCCGCAAGTGATCAACAACTACTAAGCTAAAGACACAGGGCTTATCTAGTCCGTTGTAGGCCACATTTTGACCATTTGTTGTGGCTCAAAAACTGCAATCCATAGAAAAGTTTGTTCTCACTTTGAACTGAAGACAACGACACAAGATGTTCACTGCAATCTTGCATGTCAGGGAATCTTTTTCTTTGGTTTTAGTGGCGGACTACCGCCACCTATTATACTGAAGTGTGTAACATCATAACTTTATAAAGAAGTTATGTTGGATATTAAACCTGTTTGGTTTAAATATTTAAACAGAGTCGTTTGAACCTGTAATTGTTTGTCCCGTCTCTAACAGACCTTTGATGCTCCACTCCCTTCTCTGAGGGAAGAAGGGATGGGTTTTATTTTGTGTGGTGTGTGTCATAAAACAAAATGTTCTAAATAAATGACAATGCTTAAGTTGAGATGTTTGGACTTATTGTCCCATTTATTGTTTCCTTATTAAGTTTATATTAGGTAAACCCAGCATGCTCTGTCACAATACCATTACACCATTCTATGCAGAAAACTGAGACTACAGAAAAACGTTTCATATATCTATGTAAGAAAATATACATTATACTTTACTAAACTATACAATGCAAAAAAAAAAAAAAAAACCTACTCAAAACTTTGCATATGTCTGCTGGTTGCATGTAGCACTTGTGGTGACATTGCAGTAGGCACTGCACTACTCTTAGCCTGGTGGAGATCTGCTCTCTATTGACTGCACTCTTGTAGCATTACTGTTGGGTTACGTTTGCAAACTGTTAGAATTTACTCTAGCTCTTTTTCAACTTACATGTGTCTATTTGTTGCTGATTTGTGCATGTGTATCCTTTGTCAACAATGAAGTTGTAATAGTTTTAAGGTGAAACTCGCTCAGAACAATGCATTGGTATTGGGTAGAAATAACCCAGTGCTGTGTCAGTGCTGTACCAATCAAAACTGACTTGGTTTTTAACTCAGTGATTTTTAGTGTGTTCATTAAATTGTCTGAATGTGTTTTCTTTTCGTCACATCCTGCCAGAGATGGAGCTCTACTCATCCTCGAGGGAGTAGACTGAGTTGTCAGAGTGCAGCAGGACAGAGCCCTTACAAACACGTCTACAGCGTGGCCTCCCATTAATGAGATCATATCTGTGAAGTTCAGTGGACACGGGGCGCACTGAGAGAACAAGCAGTAAATTTGCATGTGAGCATGTTGTCTGCTGATGTGATTACTGAAGTTACTTTGCCAGAAACATGACTGAAACTCACTCGCTGTGTCTGAATTTGCATTTTTTAACTGTTTGACTTTGAGACAAAGTGGCTGAAGGTGAAGGTCAAGGTCAAGGTCATTTTGTCATGTTTTAAAGTCCTGTTTCTTTAAGATTGCACAAGAGTCAGCAGAAGTTGAGTGTGGGTGGACAGTCTTGTGGTTGTGTGTGTGTCTCTTTGACAGGAAATTTAATCAAGATAGGGTAATATGAGTTGGCAACAGTGCATACCACAGTTGTTGAAAACTGATAAATGTGTAGAAGGCACTGTAACCTTTCTACCCGTCTTGGATTGTGAGTGAGTGTGTGTGTTTGAATCAGACTATGTGTGTTTAGTACATGCGCCGTATTCCTGACCCCTGATCACACAAAGTATTTTAATCCAATCAGCTTCGTTTTCACATGACTGTCACACACTCGCTGCTGCTATGGTAACCTGCAGAGGAAGGAGAGAAAGTGCCGGAGTGAGAGAGGGGTATGTTGTCCTCTCTTTAATCACTGTGACATTTACACACACATAATCACACACATGGATTTTACACTTTAAACTCTCAAGTTTCTCTTCCTTGTTTCTGACTTCACAAAACCTACTGAAGGTTCTCTAATACCCTTTGAATGCCTGGAGAATGTTGTCTAGTAAAAATGGAAAAGACTGAAAGCAGATTACCAATAACAAGAAATCTATGAGTTATTCAGATAATGACAGTATTTACATATGTAAATATGTATATGTGCAGCAGGAAATTCAAGGGTTCTTACTGTTCTGTGCCAGGAAAGTCAGGTTTAAATGTAGAGAGAGTGGCTGAGCAAACAGACATATATAGAGAGTACGACTGAAAGTGAGAAAGATTGACAGGATAGACAAATCTGCAAATATGATCGATATACAGATAGAAAACAGACAACAGAGACCGTTAATAAAAAGGAAAGTTTGCAAAAATGCATCTTTCAGGTATCAGAGGCTTTGTTAGTAGAATAAGATTGCGAAGAAAGATAACTTAGATCACAACTGAGGCCAAACTCACAAATACCCACTTCCCTTGAGAGGTGAAAAGGTTAGCCTGTGCCCTGTGGTTCGTTTTTGGCACGCTACCCTCTGCTGCTTCTCATTTTTTCTCTGACATTTCCTGTTCTACGTCAAGATGAAGAATCAGACTGCAGCTCTGTAAACTTACAGGGCTCGTAGTTGTTGCATTTATGTGTCTGTTATGTGCAAACCTTTTTTTTTTTTTTTTAACCCTTTCTCTTACCCCGGAAGCTGCAGCCTATATTTTTTCCATATTTTATACCTAACCTATGATTTGGAGCTCAGCTAGCAGGAGGCCGCTGTCAGCAGCAGAAGTTGCAAGTCAGGGAGATGTTTGAGCCTCATTTTCAACTGTGTCAGTGCAACAGTGAGTAAAGCACTCCACCTGCTGGCCAAGAGTGGGATTGCCACACTGTGAAACACCATGGAATGAGGGTAAAGATTTTCTGGAAAATGTCAAAACAGTAGCTGTGGAGGTTACACCAGTTGCCTGCTACCAGCTCTTTTCCACTGAAACCTTCTGTAGATCTGAAAGAAATATCTTTATCAATATTATATGATAATACAATACCTGGGAGTGACCGCTGAGTCACTGAGTTTCCTATTCAGAAGTTTCGGGTGACTGTGACTTTTTTAAGCTTTATATATAGAAAGTTGTTTTCCTGGAAGTGTTCCACTCTCACACTATTGTATATTCTTGTTTTACATTTACAGTTTGACCTATATATAGACACTGTTGTTCACTGTTTCTTTTCACATATATCTATGAACGCAGCTATTTTTTTTTTACCTACTTGTATGTTCATTAGTTATATTTGCCTATTTGTGTTCTTGTTTTTAGCTTTAATTCTATCTTCCTGTGAATTGTTCTGGAAACTGGAATAAAAGTAAATTGAGAGCAACTTCCATCCAGTCAAACTCCTTGTATGTGTGCTTGTACTTTGCCAATAAAGCTGATTCTGATTCTGTTTAAATAACAAAGTATATAAAATATTATAGTAACTACTGTGTTGAAATGGCAAAAAGTTCCTGTCCTAGATATCCCCACTCAAATAACCTGTGAACTTCAATAGTCAAAGAGCAGGATAATTATAATATAAACTGGTGTCAGAATGCAGTCCTGTACAATCTGCATAATGACTGAACCAACACTGAGAATTTCCCCTGATCTTTACATTGCAAGCTTATGTATTTGCATTTCCAGCTGAAAAGCACCAGATACACGTCAGTCCAACTAAAGGTCCTCTGATAGACAAGAGCCATGTTTTGTGCAAATGATTTTATTCAGATAGCAGACAGAACAGAAAAAGAGGTGTATTTTTCCAGCTGTGAGCGGATGCTGGTTGCCTAAAACACCTGTGACTCTCAGCCTGAATCCACTTTTAAAGTCTACAAGTGTAGACTTTGTACAAAATAAAAGGACCAGACCATCTTTTTTTACATTTTTTTTAATGCTTGCTAACAGAATGGTGCTGGTCCACAGTCAGAAGAGAGCATAAAGGGAACGTGGACACACTCTGTTGAGGTCAAGTTAGGGACTGCAAAAAAAGTATACGTAGGGAGGAGGGTTAAATCTTATATTTAACTTCCTTAAAAAGAAAGGCCCTCCCCAGTAATATTAATATCTTCTGTGTCCTCCTCATGGAAGAGGAGATTTAGATTTGTAATCTAATATAAACCATAATACATTCTTAAAATAATAATTTTCACAATAGTAACTAATAGACACTAGAGGTGGAAATAGCAATTTCCAAATTACATACTATTGTAAATATTCCAGCCACTTTCCATTTTAGAATAAAGAGAAACAAACAAACTAAAAGGATAAACTTGAATTATAACACAGACCGACTTAACAGGACATATTTCAATTTTTAAAAACATTTCGTTATGATAAAGACTAAAGTGAAGGGCAGGAACAACTGCAATCACTTTTAGCCTCATTCCTAAATATCAATTCTCTGTGTTTCTGATATTTAACATGTTGGTCCTCTTAGCTTCTTGACTGTGGTGAAAAAAATATAAAATATAACCGTGACAGAATTGTTGTCCTAAACTGATTTTTTCTGACGGAATATAATGAAATATAAATTTAGGGTTTTCCCCAAAGAGTCAGACTACGATTCCCTTTAGTAAAAACAGAAAATACATCCCCCTCCCCTTCTTCTGACGAGCCTTTCCCCCCTAATAATTTTTGTACAGTCCCTTGTAGGGTCGTTGAGATCCCATAATGGCAATAAAATGAAAATCAGACACAGGTGAAATAGCATTTTGCAAGGCTTCCATACAATATTTAAAAAAAAAGTCTACTTAAATTACTTTACCTGTTGTTGCTGAGCCCATTCAACTACCTAAGGATGAATGCCATGCTTTCCAAATATGTGTAGCTGTAGTACACACTGTATGTTCTCCAGGCCCACCAAGCAATCACTACTATGATTATAATGTTAATGAATGTAGATACCCACATGATGTGCTCAGGATAAATAAAGTTATGTTTTTTTTTTTTTTTGCTCTTTTCTGTATTATTGGACAGTATACAAGATTAAATCAGTCCTGTTACAGTACAGTACAGCTTTGGAAACAAACGAAACAGGAAATGTCTTTTTCTCTTCATTTTTCCTCCGCACTTCAAAACCAATCACCAACAATCACCTTCAAAAACCAAACAACCGCCCCCCCACACACACAGACACACACACATTCACACATTTCACGTTTCTCATTTCCTCTTAACCTATCTCCAGGGCAACTACTAGCGCATTACTGTATAACTGTTAATAATAAAACTATGTATTATGACATCATTTATATTCAGATCACACATCCATGGACAGGCGAGAACAAAATGGGCGGTGGTATGTCTGCAAAGTCTTATTAAGAGCAGGGATCCTTTTTTTAGTCGAAGGTGACAGCTTTTCTTAGTGTCAGCAGACTCTGTGCAGCTCATTTTCCACTTCAATACCTCCTTCCTCTTCTTCTCTTTTCTCGCTTTCAGAGCCACCAGAAGCGTACATAGACAATGAGCATGATGAAAAAGACACCGCCGGCTGCCAGCTTGGCATAGGTGGAGCGGGTATTCAGATACTTGGCGTCACTCCTGTACTTCTTCGACAGGCTGGACAAGTTGCTGGCCTTGGAGTCTAGTGCTGCAGGGAGGAGGAGAAACCGGAGGAAAAGGGAACAGGAGTTCAAAACAGGAGGAAAAGAAGAGAGTGGAGAAAGAAGGAGGGAGAGACACAGATAAGGACAAAGTTACATACTCTGAGGCACATCCCTTCTTATTAACTTTACTATTATTCAGAAAGACACACTGCATCGGTTTGACCTCTAGAGAACCTGAGGTAACATGGACTTACCAGAGAGAGCCTCTCCTCTCTGCAGCACCTCCTCTATGTTAGCCACCATGATCCTCTGTACGTCCTGGAGCTCTGTGTTAATGCTGCCCAGATTCCTTCTCGCTCGGCTGTCAATGTAAGACTTCTTGGTTTTTTGGATGTAGGTGTCTGGTGAGGGAGCGCAGAAGGAATGAAAGCAGTTAATGGCACACTGTGGGAGAGGGAGTGAGGCAGAAATCACCAGTGATGTAAGAAAAGTGAGTTGTAAGTTTAAAAAAATGTAAACTTATAATCGAGAGCACAAATCGGCCTCGAGGCTCTGCTGTCATTCGCCAAAAAACTGCCAAAGACAAAAATGATGCAGTGGTGAGCCAGTGAGTTGTTGCCCACGGCGACAAGCAGACAGAGGCGGACGCAGTGGTGCATGATCTTTCCACTTCCAGCGGGATTTCACCATAACGACCTTTCTAACAATTTGTAAGAATTTTGAGCCTGAAAACTTGCAAAACAAACCAAACATTTATTGTGATTATGATTATTATATAGGCCAGATTCAACAGTTATATATTCGATACGGTTTGTTCTTCAGTGACACTACAGAATTTCATCATTTATCTATCCGTTTCCCTCATTAAGTCAGGCCAAGGCAATTTGTTACCTTACATAACAATCATCTCTTTGATTTCAACAAAATGTAGAACACAGACTTTAAATAAAGAAACAAAAACAAAGCACTGGTATTGGATGGGGAGTTGTTATTGGGCTAACCCTCAGTTTCTTGGGCCGTCCACACCAAGAACAATTACTATAATGGTAACCCTCCCCTAGACATGCTGCACTCCAACTGTCTCTGCAACTTAGGAAAATGAATATCGCTGTTGATGACCTATTACTGCTGTATGTTGCACAGCAAAACAAAACAAAAAGCAAAAGGGTACGGGTTCACAGAGTTCTTCAAAGATAAGGAGTTAGAAGAATCCAACACAGGAAGACAGATTCTATTTATACTTTGATTAAAAAAAAAAAAGAGGACATCAGTAAGGACTTCAGAGACCCTATCAGCGCTAAAGACCGTTTGGCAGAATGCCTCAAGTGAAATGACATTTTTAATATGCTATTTGCAGCCTGAAATTACATTAGTAAGTTATATATCACATTTATAATCATTGTTATAGTTATCCTTCTTGGTGTGGACGACCCTTTAGTATCACTGAGTCAGATTGGTGGATCCCTGGCTTTTGTTTTAACCCTAATGTAAAGTGCCGTCACATTACATCACTATACATATTATATAACATGCACTAATCTATTTGAAAGAAACAGCGAGCAGATCTATTATCTAAAAACCCAGCACATGCTTAAACATTTCAGCCCAGAGAGCAGTAATTCAGTGGCTCCAGGCTCTCTTTTCTTCTTACCAAATTCAATGAAGGAGTAGGGCCGGGATACTGTGGGGACCCTCTTTCCATGCTGCTCGTGAAACTCTGCCTGCAGGTCTTCTAGGTACGCAAAGGCCAGCTTCTTAGGAAAGCTGGCTTCACACAGCACAAGGTAGCACACTCCTTTCTCTATAAAATAGCTGCAAGAAAAAGATAAAATGTGGTAAGAACTGAAAGCTGGTATCGACAGTTTATGCATGGGTGCTTATTAGGAGCTTGCTTAACACGTCCTTTGGGTGATTTTGAGCTTCACTGTTGCATAATTACTTCAACACTGTCCAGAAACTATTATAGAAATAAGTGTATTGTTGGTTTCTGTTCTAGAAATACTCACTGAAATGCCATGGAACCAGCCTCTAAAGTGCAGCGTGTGGGACTCTGATCGTTGAGCTTCCTGAACAGCTGCTTAGCTTGACTCTGATACTGCTGAATGTCCCGACCCAACTAAACAGATAACAGAAAACACAACAGCCGTTACCACATGACTCGCTCACAGCTCACACAGAAAGTACGGTGTTTGATCAGGGCAAGAAACTGACTTTTGTGTGTCACATTTGCAGGTTGCAAGCAAATTTCACTATTTTAAGGAGACTTAAATGATAAATTGGTTACTCTTTTGAGCGTTTGACAAATAGAAATAGCAACCACCTACATTCCAGATTTCACGCTATTTTTCTTGACGGTGTTAATTTCTTGCCCCGTAAAAGTGTGCTGAAAATAAAAAGTTGGCATAAAAGACTACAAACAGACTCAGCGGCGTGATGCTACATCTAAGACTGATTGCATAAAAAACAAAAAGAAACAGACTCCAGCTGTTTATGGTGAGCGTTTGACTGGTGGATGGTTCATTCATTTTCTTGGGTGGTGTTGACTCTAAGCAAATGGACTCTTTACAGCAACACTGTAGCATCACAGAAACATGTATGATGTTGAAGCACAGAGCAGAGACGCAAACAAACCTTTTCACTTCCCTTTATGAAAGCAAACGAGAGAGTGAGGGAAACATGTTAGACTCCTGGTAACGTCATGCTCAAACATGATAAAACAACTTACAAAAAAGGCGTCATATGTGAGGTTTGTGTCACTTTCATTCAACCTGAGACAGTGTTTTCTGAACGGTCGGTAATCAGAGGGAGAGCCAGACATTTGTAATGTCACTGGGACGTAACATAGGCGACTAAGGAGCTGTGGAGCCATGATATGGTAAGTTATCTCTGTGAATCAGAAATATAACAATAGATCATATGGCTTAATACAGATAGTATTGTTTACACTTGATAAGTAAATTATAAACAGCATCTCCACCTAAATAGAAACAGACACAGGAGTTTTGACGCCATTATCATTGAAGACAGTCGTCAGAGGTGTGACGTGCATCATGGGCCCGGCTGCACTCGAACCAGGGACGTTACAGTTACACAGTATACACCTGAACCACTGGTCCACTAGGGCGGTCTGATAACAATATATCAGCAGCGTTATTCATCTTTTAAACATGAACAGACGTTTTTGATAACAATCTCCTAAATTTGTTTACTAAAACATTGCAAGAACAATATTTACTGAGCACTTAACAGTTAAAAAATAAAGATGGCGGTGCCCTCTTGTGGGCAAATTATGTAACAGAGACACTGTTTCTAATTTATGTCATATTTCTGACATTTCTTTACACTTTCTTTCTTATCACTCGTCGGCCGACAAACATGTATAGAGGTAAATATATGAGAAGGTCAAATCTGAAATATATATTGGTCAAATGAATGTGAAAGAAACACCTTTAATCAGGTGTTACTGACTTAATTCAGATATCAAACCTGATGAAGAGCCTGTTTTGCAGCCCTCTTGCTATTTTTACACACATAAATAAAAGTATGACTGTGCAGATTTAGCAGGTTTTTGAAGCTCTAAACTGAACTGTGTCGAGCCTCAGTAAGTAGTAAGTTTCACTGAACTCACTGGTGACATTGTGCAATGCTGAAATGAACTGGAACAGGATCTAAAAAAGAAAAGGTCCCGGCTAAAACACAGGATACCTGCTCTTTAAACCCTCTGAGTCAGTTGGCTTGAGTAAATAAAAGAGCTCTCTCTCTCTCTCTCTCTGTGTGCGTGTGTGTGTGTGTGTGTGTGTGTTTTTAACTTTGTCACAAGTCGCACTTGCAACACTGCTGTTAAAGGGGTTGAGTTCACCCAAGGCTGTAACTATGGTGAAGTGCATGCGTGTTGACATCAGCCACTAAAAGTGAATACATGTCTTGGGACACGGTGACTAATGGATGGCAGGATATTATTGTGTTATCAGCACGCGTATGAGTTTAGAGGAAGCGTCAGTCCCCACTTCTCCTCTCCGAATGAGTTAATACAGACTTCTGCTTTATCACCGAGAGGCTGAAAAGTACCTGATCAAAGTTAGACTCTGTCTTAAGCAGAGGTTCGACAACCGCGCTTGTCATAAGTTAAAACACTCTTCTTTTTTTTCCAACCTAATTTGCACTTAAAAGAGGATGTAGCTGAATTAATATTCCAAAGCAGCTCCCCAAAGTTAAAGCATTTGTTTTTACCCCAGTTTAGTTATTATGATACATGGAAACATCCTGTTTACATTTACAGTTACTCCCAATAACGCTGTAGATCAGAATAATGACTCCACATGTGCCCCAAAGGACAGAGGTTCCCAACCTTTGCTGTCCACTTGTAAGGCCACATTAATGTAGACATGAGCTGTAAGCAGTACAACTACAAAAATGTTCCTATCAAGTTGTTTAACTTTAAGGCTTTTTCAAATATTTATACATTATTTCTACAGTGGTAAAATATTTATATGTATCTTTGCTTTAACATCAAAAATGACATGGCATGTAATTGTTTAGTCCATCAGTTCTTCTCGAGGCTGCAGCCTATTATCTACCCAATAATGACATATTTTTCTGTATTATTTTACTGTGGGCCTCATAAACAAACCATTTACTCAATCTTCTCTGATGTTGAGACACTTTATTTCTAATTCTGTGAGTTATTTTATCTATCTCCCTAATTCTGTTTATTGTCAACTTCAAATTTAGTAGACGAGGCAGAGTTCGATTTGTTTCAAAGCTGCAATTCTGATGAGACTATACAGATATTAGTCTATTTCTAAGGTTAGTTCGGGTGGTCTTATACCCAAAATTAATGTTTTATACATTATAGATTTTCATTATATAACTGGTTGCTATTATATTTTTATAAAATAGAGTGGTTTACATTATTTTTGCCACAGCTTCCCCATTTGTCTGACTTCATTGATGTGCTAAATTTAGTTTGTATTTTTAGAGGCCTAAAGAGGGGAAAGTATCCACTATTTCCCAACAACTTATTATACTTTAGGGGAGGTCCTTAAAGAAATGAAAATCCTATATAAAGTGAGTGAATTTCTGTGTTCAGAGTTGTTTAACTTGGAATGTGAGTCTAACCTTATAGGTTAAATGTTAAAATCTTAACTTAAAAACCAAGATTTGGAGCTTTAGTTACATACTTTGACAATCATCAACATAAAAACAGAAAGGTTTACACTAAATTATAACTTCCATAATTCCCCCATTGTCTGGTGAGACCCTGCTGCGTTCCCTCATGAATGACTCTTCATTCCAGTAACATTCCATTGCATATTTGGCAACGGCGCTACGTCATCCCGACTTATTCTTATCATTTCCTCTTTGCAGAAGTACTCGCGTGCCACACAGGCATATCTTCCTGCAGCTATTGCACAAGTTCATAGCATTAAGTCGCACCCCAACCTGGCACGCCATCTCCTGATGAGATAAACAACATTTCTACACAGGAGCCACATTGTCTTCCAAGTCGCAGTATTTTCTGTTGCTGGTCGAGTAGACAACTGAGTGTCCTTTGTCCTGCTCAGCTGCGAGGCCATATTTGTCACCCATAGCATCTGATTTAGTAATATGACGATGGGATGCCTTGTGAAGCCCAGAGCTGGCCTCAGTAGCCCTGCAAAGGAATTCCACTTTGCTTTTATGTGACTAATGGGGCTATTCATTATGTCCCTCTAGGACTCAATGGACACTTTGCTTTGAAGAGAGAAAACTCAGTGTCCACATCCATTTTGCAAGAGCTGCTAAAAGTTATTTTGTAACCACGTGAAATGTAACAGAATGCACAATAACATGCTCATTATCCATGCATTTCAAGTTGCCAAGGCTTAAACTGTATGTGTGTGATGAATAACAGAGTACACCGTCGGGTCCCGCTGGAGCATTAGTGGGCAGTTCTGCAGTAATCACTTCCTTCAGAAGGCCTGCTAGATGAAGCATTTAGAGAATGCACAGGGTCCTGCATGGCAGCTTTTATCTTGGAAGGCCAGGTCTGCAGCTTTATCATCGTTATGTAATCCCAGCCCAGCCAGTAGCCACAGGAAAGAGCAATTACAGGATGACCCATTTTAATGCATCACTGTCAACCCAATTAGTGAGTTGTTCGAAGGGGTTTTTCTGGGTAACCTGGGTGCCCTCGACACACACTCTTGTATGGTTTTCCCATAATGTGTGTAGGGAAATGGACTATAGACTGTGGCTGTTCTCCAGTCCATCCACTCATCCACTACTGACATGACACAGGAACTAAAACTGCAATGATTAGATTGAGTAGACAACGAAAATTCATCACCCACTATTTTGATAATTAATTAATCATTTCAGTGTTTTAGGTAAAAATGCCAAACATTTGATGGTTCCAGCTTCTCAAATGTGACGCTGTGTTGTTTTTATTTGTCTCACGTGATAGTAAACTGAATCTCTTTGGGTTTCGGATTGTTGGTCAGACATAACTAGTAACTTGAACAAAAACACCTTGGGCTCTAGGACATAAGATTGAACATTTTTCCATATTTTCTGACGTTTTATAGATGAAAGACTAATAACCAGCAGATTAATCAATAATGAAAATAATTGCTAGCTGGAACAGTCAAGTCCCATTTTTGCTCAGTTAAATACTATGACCTAATATGAGATTATTATTAATTATATTTTATGAATTATTTTAGCAGAAGTAAGACATTTTCTTGAATTTAAAGCCGGACTATGTAACTTTTGAAAGAAGAAATAACACATTCTTTCTCTTACAAATTAAAAAGTTGAATTTCAGAGCAATTAAACACGTTTATAACACATTATAATATGACCAATAGATAGTAACAGTCATTATAAAGTCAGCTCCTTTATGTTACATGGTCTCGCTTTAATTCATACGTTCAGTCACGTGATTACCATGGTTACCTGGCGGGCAAGAAACATATATATTTACATATATCCGTCACCTTACACCGCACAAAAAATGAAAGCCTACAAAAGTATGGA